GAAGGCCCTCTGGATGGAAGCTGGGATGGCTGGCGGGAAGCTAGCAGGGTGGAGCAGGTAGAGCAGGCTGACCTGGGGGTCTATGGGGTCGGGGAAAGTCCTAGCTCCCCCTCGCCGGGCCCCTGCCGTGGCCCGAATCAACTCACCACTCGGGAGGGCCCTCTGGATGGAAGCTGGGATGGCTGGCAGCTCCTTTCTTACTCACAGTGTTCCCCTCTCTCCCCAGAAATCCTGCCTAATCTATTCTGCCAAGATTTTTGCTATTCCGTGTTTTATTAAGGTATTAATAAAATGCTAATTTTATTAGCATTCAGGTACCTTCAGCAGGTGAGTCAAAACATAGTCACATCTTCATGCCATGTAAACAAATATCCTGCAACATACAAGACGGACATCAGAAAATCTGGGAGATACTTGTCTACAACTACAGTCACACTTGAGTATCTCAAATAACTGAATTAAAAATCCATGTAATTATATTTGTATTGACTCATATTTTATAGTATACATAATAATTTATATTTAACATGTTGCATTACTATATTGATAGCATATTATATTTTACATAATCAATATATTAAATTTTTAGTGTTTTTTTAGTTAGCCTTGGTTGGACTGAAGCTCCTTTTCAGACCAGACCAGTCTTGGACTCATATCCTCCTTGGACCTTCCATATCTTCCCCAGTCCTGGAATCAGAATCACACACTACTGTACTCATCACCCAAATATTTTATTCTAGCATTTTAAAATTTTTCTTGAGATGTTATAATTTTCTTAGCATGTGTTCCTAAATGATGAAAACAATGCTAAATTTGTTTTTCTTGAGGATGATGATATTCCGTTGCTACCTTTCTGGGGCACCTGTATTCTAAATCCAAACTCTTCAAGCCTGTTTTCCAGCTCTGAAGCAATCTGACACCCTCTTGTGACCTCTGCAAGCACCTGCACTCACAGACACAGACCCACAGACAGACACACCCACATAAATACATATAATTCAATATAATACAAATAAATCTTAGTAGAACTCCAACTCTGCTTTATAAACTGCCTAGTCCTGAAACTCTTTTTGACATCAAAGGTATGAACCTTGGTTTGGCCTGAGCCGAATTTCTCTGAAAATCTAGAGCAGTTCTCATCCTGTGGGTAATGATTTCTTTGTGGGGAGGAGGTAGAATGACTATGCCACAGGTGTCAAGTATCAGATGTCCTGCATATCAATTTATTTATTGTACTGATTCAGAAAATAGCAAAATTACAGTAGCAATGATATAATTTTATGGCTGGAGTCACCACAATACAAGGAACTCTATTAAAGGGGCACAGCGTCAAGAAGATTGAGAACCACTGATCGAGAGGCATTTCTTGGGCTGGTGAAGGTGGCAGTGGGATGTGTCTTTCTGTCCCCACACCAGTATCCAAATATTTCCATATTGGAGCCTGATGTATGAGCCAGACTGAATGACTCATATTTGACTCCAGAATATATGATCTCTTATTCCTGGAGAGGTGAGAAGTGTGTTCACTGCCTTTGGACTCTGACTTCCAGCTCTCTCTATTCTGATTTAGTATTCTAGGGATAAGGTCTCTGGATCCTTAGCACACAGAGACCTCTTACCCAGCTCTGGTGCCCCCTTATTAAGGGATATCCTCAAAACTCAGAGTAGTAGCAACATGGTACTCATGTTTCCAGAGTATCACTGCCTTTTGAGTGGTAGTCAAAGCAGGAAAGGGTTGGTAATTACAAAGTAGAAGTGTGCTGACAGGATACAGAGGCATAGTGAGGCATGGAACCGCCCCTGAAATACAAATGGTGCTTCTTTCTCACAAAGATTTAAATTTCTGTCTTGGTGTAGCTGAAACTCAACATCTTGACTCTGATGAGTGCAGCAGAGCATACTGAGGCTTTTGTGGGCATGCTCAGTACTACAGACAGTCTGCAGGAGGGCCAGATGAGTATGTATTTAGTGCATATTCAAGTCAAATTACAAGAGCAGAGAGTTACTTGCCACGGACTGGGAAGAAAGCAGAGGCCAGAGGAGTTGAACCTCATGCCTATGTACCTGTCACAGCGGGTTTCTGTAGAACCTGAGGATGTAGACAGGAATTTAGTTAGCTAAAAGTTTGTTATATTAGTTATCTTATAGGGGCATTATAATACTTAGGAAGTTCTTGTGTGGGAGAAATGAAATTTAAATTGCCATTCAAAAAACGAAGTAACGTTTTTGTTGCTGTTTGCTTGTTTCTTTGTTCTTAATTTGTTAGTCCACTCTTTCCCCAGGCCTCTGATTAATGACCCTCTGTTGAATCACACCAAGTCCCTGTGGAACATGCTTGCTCTACAAGTCCCACAGCAAAGGCAAATTCAAACAACTTTGCAATGTGCACAGTGACAAGAGCTGCCTGGAAAGCTGGAGCTTTTGCTTTGTAGATCTGTTGTGACAGAAACGGATGTAAGGAGGAGACAGGAGGCAATGAGTACAGGCTGACCCCGCCCAGAACCAAATCCTTTGCATTTTGAGCTCCTAGTAAATTATGGAAAAAGAATATAATGGGTTTTCTACTTCAGACTTCAGGAAGGATGATGTGGGATTCCCCTATGCATGCTGTGAATAGCATTGGTGAATAAAGAAACTGTCTTGGCCTGTGGATAGGGCAGAACTTAGGTAGGCTGAGAAACCTAAACTGAATGCTGGGAAAAAAAGAGCAGAGTTAGGGAGATGCCATCGGGCCCGGCCTGAAGCAGATCCTGGAACATTAGCCTGTAAGCCACAGCCATGGGGTGATACACAAATTAATAAAAATGGGTTAAATTAATATATAAGATTTAGCCAGTATAAAGGTAAAGCTAATGGGCCAAGCATTTAATTTAATTAATACAGTTTCTGTGTGATTATTTTGGGTCTGGGGTGCCGAGAGGTCAGATAAACCAAACATCCTCCCTACAACAGAAGGAAGTAAAATTGTGGTTTTTGCAGCTTGAAATTGTCAATGTTTCATTATACTTCATTGTTTAATCTTCTTTTTTCCTTTTTTTTTTTGTCCCTCCACCCTAATTTTTTTCATTTGGAAAAAGTTACTGGATTTTGGGAAAACAAGACTAATATTTACCAAAATACAAAATCCATGACAAAATGTTAATTCTTATCACTTAAGCCAAGTATTCTCCTAAATAAAACATTATTATTATTTTTATTACCTTTACTATCATCATCATTATTATTATTAACTGTTGATACTGCTGCTGCTGCTTCTGCCAGCTGCTGACTGACTAATTCTTTTTTTTTAAGAGCTTCTTTTTTTAATTAGGAACTCAATCCATTTGGTGTATTTCAAAAGGTGCAATACTTTTTTTTCATTTATCAATGAAAGAGTTAGAAATTATCCCCCCTCCCCAAATCAGCAAGTGGAAAACAAATACCCTTGAAAGTCACAGTCACATACAGAGTGCATCCTAGAAAGAGGGGTAAGACAGATTCCATCCACCTTCATGAGTTTCACCAAAGACTAGATCCACTCAAGGGTGGAGAGAAAAAGGCAGCTTTCAAGAAAAAGCATGTTATTAAAGGAGGCATTTCTACACTCCTTCCTAAGAGCACCAGGTGGGGACACATTTGCTAAACTACGCCTGGGGAGTCCAATGTGGAAATAATCTCTCCTCCTCCTTAACGGCTGTCCACTGGCTAAAAAATTTAAAAAAAAAAACAAGACTAAGAAACAACCCCACACACACCCCAAAAGTAGAGAAGGGCTGGGAATAGGGAAACCCAAGATGCCCCAGATTATTCTCCAAAATGGAACCAGGGAGCAGCTTTGACAATTTGAATTAGTCTGTTACAAAGTCATCACAAGCATGCCTTGCTTTAAAAAAAAAAAAAAAAGTGGGTGGGGATTTTGTTGTTGTTTTTTAAAACAAGAAAACAAAAACTAGCACTCATCACTTTTCAGACAATATACAATTATTCAAAATTAACTGTTACTGGAAGGGCAGGGGGCATACCAATGAGCCTTGTCTCACATGAATGCATGTAGGTAGGTGCAAGGCATCTGTCATTATTGCAGAAACGAATTTTAGTTTTTAATCTTTAGTTTGATTTAAACATTGCTTTTAGTATGATGGCAACACCAGCTCTGCAGAAGGGGCTCTGGAGAGGCGTTCATAGCAGCACACACCTGCGGCTCTTCTTTGGTTCTGGAGGTTCCAGGGCAGTCAATATTGCTTCATCAAACACATTCCTTAGGCCTTTCTGTGTGAGAACAGAGCATTCCACATACTTGACAGCCTTCAAATCCTGGTCCAGCTTTTCAGCAGTCTCTGGAGCGATAGGCTTTTTTTTTTCTTGGCAAGTTTCTCAATAGTAGAGGGATCATCTCTGAGATCAATTTGGGTCCCAACAAGCAAGAAAGGAGTCTTTGGACAGTGGTGAGTTATCTCAGGCACCCACTTTTCTTTCATGTTTTCAAATGAGGATGAAGAAACCACTGAAAAGCATACTAGAAAAACGTATGTTTGTGGATAACTCAGCGGTCGTAATCTGTCATAATCCTCTTGCCCTGTAGTATAAAAAAGTCCAAGAGTATATGGCTCTCCACCAATCATAACTGTAACTGCATAGTTGTCGAAAATGGTACATTTTCCGATGGAATTTGTTTGTTGTATAGGATATCAGGAGACATGTTTTACCAACAGCACCATCACCAACAACAGCACACTTAATTGTCTGCATTGCGGAAATAGTTTTGTATCCACTTTTAATATTTCAAATTAGATGTTGACCTCAACTTCTCCGTCGGGGTGTTGGCAGCCCTGACTAATTCTTTGAGACAGTCTTTTACTATATTTCAAGCTTGCTCCCTTTGCACTAGCAGCGTTGACTTTTGAAACCAAATACTTACCCAACAGGAACATACCTGTTGCGAATGTGGATCTCCTGTCCAAAGGCCAGATGTTGTGTAACCGGAGGAATTCTGCAACTTCACTCCTTTGAAACCATAGCTGGTTCTGTGATTGAAGCAGGTTTTTATAATTTTTTATCTTTTATTTTTATTTTTTTATTTTATTTTTTGCTTTTTCAAAACAGGGCTTCTCTGTGAAGCCCTGGCTGTCCTGGAACTCACTCTTTTAGACCAAACTGGCTTTAAACTCAGAGATCACTCTACCTCCCTCTGCCTACTGAGTGCTGGGATTAAAGGTTTGAGTCACCATCACCTGCCTCCCTTTTTAAATAAAGCCAAAAACCAGAAGAGCAGTATTTAATTTCTTTGCTTTTTCAGAGATCATTTCTAATATTATTTCATAATAAAGACACAAAAGTTATCTTCAACTGTACTGTGGGAGACATTAGAGTTTAGGAGATGTATGTATACACAGTTTGTAAAGGTGGAAGAAAAATTACCATTTATGTATCAAAATGAAACAGACAGTATCAGATTTTTTACCACTGTAAATACAGAGGATGACCAGTAAATCTTGCTGTTGATAATGTATATGAAATGTTTGGCTAGAATCCTGCTGTAAAACCTGGGTGATTACATGCTTGCAGTCTTTTCTAGAAGACATATCACGTATTGTTCTTTAACTCAATCCAAAACTTTCCATTTTTTTTTTGTTTCTGTCCTCCTGTTTTGTATTGACATTTTACACTTTCCACACACATTGATTGTTCCATTAAGGTGACTACATTAGAAACTCCCTCAGCTATTTTCAGGAACAGTACACATTATTAAGAACTCTACCTTACTGTGCCTTTAATACAGAGCTGACACCTCTTTATATCAAATATTGCCTCCTTCCTCTCCACTCTCCCTAGTCCAGTAAAAGAGAGAGAGAGAGAGAGAGAGAGAGAGAGAGAGAGAGAGAGAAGCTCTGCCCACTCTCTTCACTCTTCCTTTCTTTTCTGTCTTTCTGTCTGAGGAGACAGCTTTCTGCCCCTCCCCCCCTTTCTCTGTCTCTCCCAATCTCTTTTTCCTTCATAGTCCCTGTAAATCAATAAACTTCACATTCAAACTCTTTCTGCATGGCGTATTTGTCTCCTGACAGAGTTTGGAACCTCCTACCATGGGACATACCACAAAGATCTCTCTAGCTCAGGCCTTACCCACCTTAGGACCCTCCAGGGTCCCACTCATGTCATCACAGCAACACGGGCATCTCCTCTCTTGCTCCCAGTCTCCCCAGAAATCTTGCCTAGTCTATCCTGCCTAGTTATTTTCCATTGAGTGCTTTATTAAACCAATCAAGTGCCTTAGGCAGGTGAGTCAAAACATAGTCACATCTTCATGCAGTATAAACAAATATCCTGCAACATTCTTGGACATCAGAAAATTTGGGAGACACTCATCTCCAACTCCACTGACAGTTGAGTATCCCAAATAACTGAATTGAAAATCCTTCTGACTACATTTCTCTTAATGCATATTTTAATAGTACATATAATAATTTAAATTTAATATGTTACATTACTGTATTGATTATATATTATATTTTATATAATTAATAAATTAATTTTTTAGTTTTTTTGTACATAGTCTTGGCAGGTCTGGAACTCCTTATACAGTCCATTCTCAATATGTAGCCTTGAACTCAAGAGAGATCCACCTGCCACAGCCTCCCAAGACCTGGAATTAGAGTCATACACTGTAGTATCCATCACTGAATTATTTCATTGTAGTATTTTAAAATTTATCTGAATTATTTACAGTTTTTTGGCATATGTTCCTAAATGATAAAAAACAATGCTAATTTTTTTTTCTTGAGGATGGTGACATTCCATTGCTAGTCTTCTGGGGCACTTGCATTCTAAATCCTAACTCTTCAAGCCTGCAACTCCAGCTCTCGAGCAACCCGATGCTCTCTTCTGACCTCTGCAGGCACCTGCAGTCACAGACACAGACCCACCGACAAGAACACCCTTATACATATAATTAAATACAACACAAATAATCTTAGAAAAACTCCAACTCTGCTTCATAAACTGTCTAGCCTTGAAATTCTTCTTGACATCAAAGCTATGAATTTTGGTTTAGCCTGAGTCAATGGTCCCCGGAAATCTGAGCAATTCTCACCCTGCGTGTTGTGACTTCTTTGGGGGGAGGGAGTTGAACGTTCATGTCACAGCAGTCACTTATCAGATAGCCTGCATATCAATATTTACATTCTTATTCAAAACAATAACACACTACAGTAGCGATCAAATAAATTTATGGTTGGGGTCACCACAACATGACAGTCTTAAAGGGTCACAGAACTAAAAAGGTTGAGAACCACTGGTCTACAGTCATATCTAGGACTAGAGAGGGTGGCCGTCGGATGTGTCTTTCTGTCCCCACACCACTTATCAATCATTTCTATGTTGGAACCTGTTGTATGAGGCAGACTGAATGTCTCATAATTGGCTCAAACATAAATGATCTCTTATTCCCGGAAAGGTGAGAAGTGTGTTTACTGACTGTGGACAGTGTGTCTCCAGCTCTCTCCATTCTGACTCTGACTCTGAGAGGTTCAGCCTCTGGATCCTTAGCACACAGAGTCCTCTGAGCTGGCTTTGGTGCCCCCTTTTTAAGTGATGTCCTCAAAACTCAGAACTGTAGCAACATGGGGCTTACCTCCCACTGGCAACGCAAAAGAGGAGTGTGGTGTTTGCACAGTGAGGTAACTGCACTGGGGGGGGGGAATGCAGATGGAGTGGAACCGCCCATAAAAAATTAAGGACATTCCTTCCCTCTTAGCATTTTTAGTTTCTATCAGAGATGAGTGCTGCAGAGTCTGCGGAGGCTTTTGTAGGCATGCTCAGTACCACAGACAGCCTTCAGAAGGGCGAGATTGGTATGTATTTAATGCATTTTCAAACGCAACTAACTACAAGAACAGAGAGGTACTTCCCAGTGACAGAATGGAAGCAGAGGGCAGAAGAGCTGAACCGAGCCTGCTACAGTAGGTCTCTGCAGAACCAGAGAGTGCAGACAGGACTTTAGTTACCGAAGAGGTTGTTACATTAGTTATTCTATTAGCACATTAATAGTTCTCGAACAAGAAAAACGAATGGTGAATTATCATATAAAATTTGGAGCCACAGTTTTGTTTTGTTTGTTTGTTTGTTTTCCTTTGATCTTAGCAAGTTAGTCCACTCTTTTCACAGGGATCTGGTAAATTACACTCTGGTGAATCACACCAAGTTCCTGTGGAACATGCTTGCTCTACAAGTCCCACAGCAAAAGCAAATTCAAACAACAGCTTTGCATTGTGCACAGTGACAGGAGCTGCCTGGGAAGTTATGGTTTTTGCTTTGCAGATCCACTGTAATAAAAAGAAAAAGGATGTAAAGAGAAGGTAGGAGGCCTGTTGCCCAGGCTGACCCCACCCAGGACCAAATCCTCTGCATTTTTAGCTCATAGTAAATTATGGAAAAAGAATATGATGGGACTTTCATTTCAGTCTTCAGGAAGGAAGCAAAATTTTGTTTCTTACATTTTCAAAATGTCTATGCTTCATTATATTTCTTTTATCTTCTTTTTTTCTTGTTCCTTTTCCTCCACCTTAATTTTTTTTCATTTCTAGAAAGAATATTGGATTTTGAGAAAATAAGACAGATATTTACCAAAAAAAGTTCATGACAAACATTAATGTTTGTCACTTAAATCAAGTATTCGTCTAACTGAAATTTACTATTATTATTCTTAATAATTGATGGTGCTGCTACTATTTCTGCCTGCTGTTTGTTGATTCTTTGAGAAAATCTTATACTATATTCCAAGTTGGCTGATAATTCCTCCTCCATTTGCCCCAGCAAGGTTGACTTTTGCAACCAAATACTTTCCCAGTGAGAATTAGCTGTTGTGAGTGTTAACCTCCTGTCCAAAGAGTGGTTACTGTGTAACTGGATGCATTTTGCAACTTCACTCTTCCCAAATTGTTACTTGTTCTATGAGTGAAGCTGGGATTTTTTGTTTGTTTGTTTTGTTTGTTGGTTTTGTTTTTTATGTTTTTCAAGACAGGGTTTCTTTTTGTAGCCTTAGCTGTCCAGAAACTCACTCTGTAGACCATGCTGGACTCAAAATCAGAGGTCCACATGCCTGCTTCTGCCTCCTGAGTGCTGGGATTAAAGGCTTGAGTGTGTGTGTGTGTGTGTGTGTGTGTGTGTGTGTGTGTAGCTAAAAACGAGATCAGTAATGTTTTTTTCTTTGTTTTTTGAGAAATCGTTCTTAATATTGCTTCAAAATAAAGACACAAAAACTATGCTCCAACTGTGTTGTGGCAGGCATTAGATTTTAGAAGGAGATCTATGTATATATAGTATAAAGAAGGTGGAAGAAAATATCTACTACTTTTGTATCAAAATGAAACACACAGTTTCATATTTTATACCATTGTAGATACAGAAGATTATCAGTAATTCTTATAGCTAATAACATATTAGGAATGTCTGGTATGGAATCCTGTTGGAACCCTCTGGAAGGAAAATTATTATTGCTCATATAACAAAATGAAACAAACAGTATCAGACATCATAACTGTTAGGGTTCAAGAATTATGCCAGCCTGCCCTATCCTCTGGCCAAATGCATCCAAGCAGTACGCTGGACATCCCAGGATCCTAGTCTGTACACAGATGCAAAAGGTCCCTTTAAGAGACAAGTGTTGCCCACTCCCGATCTCTCTTTCCCACTTCTCTTCTGAAGTAGCACTTAGGGCTTTACCAGCCTCTTCTCCTCTTTTCACTCTCTGTGTCTCTATTTCTTTCTTTCTCTTCCCCTCCCCTGTCTCCCTTCTCTGTCCCCATTCCATTCCCTTCACCCAATAAAACATTCCACTTAAGTTCTATCTGCCTGGCCATGTTTGGCCTCACTCTTCCTGGGCTCACCCACCAGGGTCCCACTTGCGCCATATCATAACAATGTCATTTTTATAGTTGGCAGGCTCTTCTGTCAGTTCTTCCCATGTGCCTATTTGGGGACCAACAGAACCCTGTAATCATCAATCAGGTTCTTGCCATGTCCAATGTTATTTTGCTGCTGTCCAGGCTCTGTGGAACTGTCTGGTATCTTTTGGACCTAGCAAAGTTCTGGCGGAGCAAAGGACAAGGCTAAGTTTAGGGAAATTTTTTTCTTAAGTCCTGGTAAGTGAGGGAGGATAGGTGTCAAGACCAGGGAAATGTGGTGGTGGCTTTGGTTGTCAATTGACAGAATGTTTCTGGAATGCATCTGATCTGTTGAAAGGGAATCCATGTACACCTTTTGAAACTTTCAAGAATTCTCTGAGTTTGTGAATGCTTAAGTTTTAGGCATTAATATTTTTACTGTTTATAGCATGTATTGAGATTTACATTATATTAACAGAAGTATATTCAGGTCAGAAATGACTATGACAAATGTTTTTGCACGATAAAAAGTATCTTTGAGGACTATAGTTAGAAAATCACCAAATAGGAATTTGAAATTTTGTGCTCGTGGCCATGATGATAGTGGTATAGCATGGTGTTTACTACTCTGTCAGATTTGGATTAGTAGCTTATTAGAACTTTATTGACTAATGTTAAGATTATATATACATGAATAACTTGCTTTAGCACACTTATAGCACATTCTTAGAATTCTTAAACATTCTTAGACCCTTACATCTTCAGTTTTGCATCTTAAAACACTTATTTAAACAAAGGAATGGTAAGAAGTTATACTGAAATCTGTTTTGTGAGTTTATCTCTTTTCTGAGTGTGGTAATGAGGTAAATTGTGTCTACACTTAGTATTGGCTCTAGTATAGTGAAGTCTGTGACCTGAATTTTACACAGATAACTGAGAAGGCCATTGGTAATGACTTTGAGACATCTTAAGAAGAATAAATTTTACCTGAGCTAATGCCTAAAATATGACAGACTTCTTCGTTAGATGCCTGGACAACCACTCCCCAGGGTCCTCCTTGGTTGTCCAGGGAAGAGCTATGTCAACATTCACCTTCCAGCTGGCAGAGCTAAGCCTGCAAGGCCCCAGAAGGTCCCACAGGCTTCTCTGGAGTAAGGACACATAAGATTAATCTACCTGTGTCTTAGGCAACTTGAGGCAGTTGGTTCCCTAGTGTCATGCTGTCCATGGTCTGAAGAGTGTCTTTGTACCAGTTGAGGTGAAATGCAGTTTGTTCTCAGTGGTTATCACAGCCTCTTATGAAACAAGTTCCAGGTTGAAGTTCTGTTCCCATCTATCTTCTTTGGAGAAAATGAGGTAGTATCTCTCTGTTATGAAAAGCCTTGGTAATAATTAAACATTTTAAATACCATATTTTGTAGCTCTCTGAGAATATGAGGATGTCTGAATATTGGGAATATCTGAGTTATGACTACAGTGTAGTATCTGCCTGGAGAGTTGGATTCAAGCTGAGCGGTTGTGGAAGAATGATTTACACAGAGTCCTCCAGCATGACTATAACTGGTTTCTAACTAAGCAGGTCAGATTTAGGCTTGTTAGGGACAAAGAAGTAAAGAAAAAATTTCTTTTCAAGAGCAGCTTAACAGTAAAAACTGACAATATGAACAGAGCTCGTTGAGACTATTTAAAGCATCTTTTAAACTATAAGTACATGTACATGCAGTTGAATTTGCATTGCACACACACACATACATACACATTTGTATTAAATAGGAGTTGAATAAATAGGAAATGAGAAACAATGTGTATTGATCCAGAGGCAGCTAACTTCTCCATCTCTGACTCCCATGTACGTGGCAGACCCAGCTGCTGGTACTGAACGAAATGCAAAGCAGATTTGTTACAGGTGGAAGAGAGCAGAAGTGTTACCGGGGAGTAGGTCCCTGAGTGAAATAAACGCCTCAGTGGGCCCTGCTAAGGCGTACCATCATGCAAAGGCACCACAAGCAACAGAGTCAGTGTAAAGAGTTAGAGACTAAGGAAAGATAATGGACTGTCTCTACCTAACGGACACATTTTTAAAGGAGTAACTAATGGTGTAAAGGCAGCTGGTGACAGGTGCTGACTTAAGTGCTCTGGCTGTAGTGGTTGCCGTGGGTGCCCCTTGTTTAGGGCTGGAACTGGAACTGTATGAGTCTTCAGATCTTCCCAGGCCCAGTAGCCACCTAGGGCTGAGTACCCCAGGAGAAGCTGGTCACATGACCATCTTTAGTAAAGACTGTGTTTAAGACATATGACCTGCCCTTGGTCAAGACAGTGTGTCCCCACACGTTGCAAGGGTCTGAGAAACCACATGTTTTTAGAGCAGTCGTGCAAACTTTAGACAAGCCCAATTAAGAACACAGACACACAAGCTGCATAAAATATACACTTAAAGCAGTCAGAATCACACCTGTGTGACCACACCATTCACACATTCTTTCATACATGAAGCAGATAGTAAACATCCTAAACATGTGCTGCCCACCTGCAGCCTGCAGGAAAGAGGAACCCCCACCCTGGATTGTAGCAGAAAGGGTGGGAACAGAGACAGAGTCAGATGGGAAAGAGGGAACCGCAACCCACGAATAGATGATTCACAGGACAAACAGAAGAGCGAGACATTTTGAACATGCGCATGAGATGCCTAGTGAAACAGAGAGATGATCCTTCCCGGAGACAGCCTTAACCAAGATGGGAGGTGGCAGGAGGTCGCTGCAGCAGCAGGTAGGGAAGAAAGTCAGACAAGCGTAGAGAACAGGAAAAAACAGAGGCTGAACTTCCAGCTATGGCTCACTGGTGGATTGTGGGATGCTAATAACTGGCAGGTGGCTTACTATCTGAGGAAGGGGTGATTGGGGTGGGCACATTTATTGTGAAGAAGGTAGAGACATGGCCCAGTGTCCCAGAGGTTAAGTGTGGACCACCACTCAAGCTGGCCTTGGATCATCACATACAAAGTTCACGGACAATGTGGAGTGTGTGGGCACAAGCCATAACCCTACATTGTCACATGGGAACAGGGTCCAAACTGCTCTGAGAGACATGTGGTTTCACCCATTAATTATGTCAGTGTGTTCTATTATATTTATGTGTTTATTAATTAATTTATTTATTTACTAGGTTCTTTGAAATTGATCCTTATATAATCCAGGTTGACCTCAAACTTTCTATATAGCCAAGGCTGACCTTGTAACCCTCCATCTCCAGCTTCAGCTGGTCAAGCACTGGAACTGCAGAAGTGTATCAACATGTCTGACTCACTGACTGGAGCAAAAGTTATGCAGACAGTCATGATCCACTAAGAAATCCAAACGTTGGTCCTCTAGAAGAGAAACAACTACGCTTAACACCTCAGTTATTTCTCCAGGCTCTTAAAGATCCCTGCCACCCTCAACCCCCACAGTGTTTCCCTCAGTACTTATCAGTCTGTTTTTATCGATGGGTGGTTTTTTTGTTGTTATTTCTTTTTCATCTTGATCTTTATTCTTTCTTTCTCTTGCTCCTTTATTAGCTCTTAGTTCAATACCTGAAACACTCCACGGCAACAATTCTGTTTGCTTGTCTTGTACTTTTCTGTGAATCATAAACATAATTTATAGACCAGGACTTTCACGAAGGGCATTTTCAATAGACGGGTACAAGCCAAATACACAGAAGATTTGGAGTAAATCTATCCTTTTCCCTGAAAGGTTCATGAGAGTAATGTTCTTATATTCGTATTTTACAGATGAAGAACAACAAGGACAATGTCTCAGAATCGTCTCCCCCGTGTCTCCTGCTAGGCTTTACTGTTGCTATGGAGTGATCATCGTCCTCACTGTAGCTGTGATTGTACTTTCTGTTGCTTTGTCATTATCAGGTGAGTGACATCTCCAGATCCTGCTAAATTCTGGCCACATCCAAACTGTCAGTTATGCTTCCTAAGCACTGTGATCCAGGCTCTGTGTGAAGGACTGGAGAGAAAGCACACTGAAAATTTCTGTTCTCTGAGAAAAGGGTCTAGCAAAAGAAGCAGTGAAGAAACGGCACAGGCTGTGGTGTACACAGAAGATCAGGCTCAGCATCCCTGGGAAGAGGACATTCAGCAACCTCTAGAGAGTTGCAGAAGACACATGTCTAACCTTGGGAAACTATTCAAAATAGAGAACAAGGACAGCAATATCCAAAGGAGAAACCTCAAGGAAATATGAGGATAGAAAAGAATAATATGGCCAAGAAGATACAGCACCCCCCCATTGCCCATCATGTCCGTTCCCATGTTCAACAATATTAGAATGTTATACAATAAACAACTGTGCAACAAGTGAGGACAATGACCTCAAAATGTAAACGATGTATAAGTATCTTGATCAGAGGTAGAAATGTGTATTGCAATATGAAAAATATATCCTAAAATTATATCAATATTCAAAAATATTTTTAAGCAGTGTTAGAAGCATGTATGCATACAATATAACAAAATAACTTTGCCTAGGTATACAAATACGGTGGACAAGAATAGAAAAATATTTAATACAATTTTACTTTATATCAATATACAAGCATCTATACCAATGTAATTGCCTATAAATAATACCTCACAAATATTCACTCTATTACTCACTATTATTAGTAGTGTAAGTAAGTTCACATTAATCTATTATCCCATCCAATTTTCCCTGTTTTCCCAAAGAGATCCCTGAGCCTATAAAATTTCCCCCCAACCTCTATTCCTATACCAATTATAATAAACCATTAATGATGTCCGTAACCCTGAGGACAAACTTTGTTGGGAGAGGGGATGTGTCGTCTTCTAGAATTACTTCCAGCTGTCATGGGGATCCCATGTTCTTTCTATGGGATCCCGTGAAAGTAATGCTTAAGTTCCAAGATTACCGTCTGGTATAATTTCAAATAGTCTCTGAGTATTGGTAAGGTTTTCTGAGGTTCCTATTTGAAATTTTGGACAAAATGTTGTAAAAATGTGTACCATTTCAGCAATCCAAGTTGGAATCATCTTGAGCATATGGTACCCAAAACAGGTCTTATAGTAGTGCTATCAGCATTATGACATCATGCCAACCAGGTGAAGTTGTTGTTGTGGAGCACCATCTTCTTTCTGGAAACTTCAAAGATTACTGCAGGAAAATTAACTATTCATTGTGGGAAACATAAACATTATTTATATAGGCATATACAGACATATATATTCAATGAAAGGTATGATAGAGACAGAAATAGGTATGATGAAAAGTAAATTTTTTATAAATTCTTTTTTCTTTCTGTCCCATATCTTGGCTCCCGACATGAGACAGAAACTATGAATTTTTATTTTAACAGTATGTTTGATTTAGAGAACAGAGCTATTGCCCAACTCCATAGACAGCTCTATATATTCGTGTGTGTGTGTGTGTGTGTGTGTGTGTGTGTGTGTATCAATTATGTGATATCAAGAATCATGGACATTTTTCTTGATGATCCTTGGTGGACAGTTATTTTTTCATTTGTCAGCATTCAAACATCCAGGCTCTCTTGAATTTTTGAAGATGAATATTTTCCTGTAAAGACAAGAACAGAGCACTGCCCAAATCGCTATGAGGTTTCCTTACCAACTATGTGGTTAACATCATTTGTAGATGAGCAGTCATTTCTATTTTTCAAGAGGTTTCTCCTTTTCAAACCAAATCTTTATTATTTTATGGCACTCATAATTTTTTTTCATCTGTGGACAAAAGAGCAAAACCCCTTCCTCAATATAGCACATCTCCTGGCTTCCATTGTGAGGTCAACACATCCTTGAGATAAATTGGTTAATTTAATTCAGAAGACTTTTTGTATTAATTTATTTATTTATTTATTAAAAATTTCCACCTCTTCCCCTCCTTCTTTTTCCCTCTCCCTCCTCACCTCACCCTCCCTCTCTAGTCTTAAGAGCAGTCAGGGTTCCCTGCCCCGTGGGAAGTCCAAGGTCCTCCAGCCTCCATACAGGTCTATAATAGTGAGCATCCAAACAAACCAGGCTCCCACAAAGTCAGTCCATGCAGTAGAATAAAAACCCAGTGCCATTGTCCTTGACTTCTCAGTCAGCCTTCATTGCCAGCCGTGTTCAGAGTGTCCATTTTGATCACATGCTCCATCACTCCCAGTCCAACTGGCCTCCATTAGATCAGTCCCACCAACTCAGTGGGTGGACGCACATCTCATGATTCTGACTTCTTTGCTCACGTCCTCCCTCCTTCTGCTCCCCATTTGGACCTAGGGAGCTAAGTCCAGTGCTCCAATGTGGGTCTCTGTCTCTATCTCCATCCATTGCCAGATGAAGGTTCTATGGTGATATGCAAGATATTCATCAGTATGGCTATGAGACAAGTCCAGTTCAGGCACCCTCTCCTCTGCTGCCCAAGGAACAATCTGGGGACCTCTCCTTGTACCTGGGCATCCCTCAAGAATCAAGTCTCTTGCAAACCCTAAAATGGCTCCCTTAATTAAGATATTTACTTTCCTGCTCCCATATCCATCCTTACTCCATCCCACCCATCCCATTCCCCCAAGCTTTCCCAAATCCTCCCCTTCTCCCTTCTCTCTACACATCTCCCCTTACATCCACCCCCCATGCACCCAAATTTGCCTGGCAATCTTGTCTACTTCCAATATCCAGGAGGATAACTATATTATTTTCTTCAGGTTCACCTTCTTATTTAGCTACTCCAGGATCACGGATTATAGGCTCAAAGAGCTTTAATTATGGCTAGAATTCACTTATGAGTTGAGTACATACCATATTCCTCTTTTTGGGTCTGGATTACCTCACTCAGTAAAGCATTTTCTATTTCTATTCATTTGCATGCAAAATTCACAACCAAAAAGGGAATTACAGGCCAATCTCACTCGTGAACATCGACACAAAAATTCTCAATAAAATACTGGCAAACCGAATCCAAGAACACATTAGAAAAATTATCCATTATGATCAAGTAGGCTTCATCCCAGAGATGCAGAGCTGGTTCAACATACGCAAATCTATCAATGTAATCCATCATATAAATAAACTGAAAGAAAAAAACATATGATCATTTCATTGGATGCTGAAAAAGCATTTGACAAAATTCAACACCCCTTTATGATAAAAGTGTTGAAGAGATTGGGGATACAAGGATCATACATAAATATAATAAAAGCTATTTACAGCAAGCCGACAGCTAACATCAAATTGAATGGAGAGAAACTCAAAGCCATTCCACTAAAATCAGGAACACGACAAGGCTGTCCACTCTCTCCATACCTCTTCAATATAGTGCTTGAAGTTCTAGCAATAGCAATAAGACAACATAAGGAGATCAAGTGGATTCGAATAGGAAAGGAAGAAGTTACACTTTTGTTATTTGCAGACAATATGATAGTGTACAAGAGTGACTCCAAAAACTCTTCCAAAGAATTCCTACAGATGATAAATACCTTTAGTAATGTGGCAGGATACAAGATCAACTCCAAAAAATCAGTTGCCTTCCTGTACACAAAGGATAAAGACATGGAGAGGGAAATGAGAGAAACATCTCCTTTCACGATAGCCACAAATAGCATAAAATATCTTGGGGTAACTCTAACCAAGGAAGTGAAAGAACTATTTGACAAGAACTTTATGTCTTTGAAGAAAGAAATTGAGGAGAATACCAGAAAATGGAAAGATCTCCCTTGTTCTTGTATTGGGAGGATCAAAATAATAAAAATGGCAATTCTACCAAAAGCAATCTATAGAGTCAATGCAATCCTCATCAAAATCCCATCAAAATTCTTCAAAGACCTTGAGAGAACCATAATCAACTTTATATGGGAAAACAAAAAAACCCCAGGATAGCCAATACAATCTTATACAATAAAGGAACTTTTGGAGGCATTACCATCCCTGACTTCAAACTCTATTACAGAGCTACAGTATTGAAAACAGCTTGGTATTGACAAAAGAACAGGGAAGTCGACCTATGGAATCAAATAGAAGACCCGGACATTAACCCACAAACCTATGAACACCTGATTTTCGACAAGGGAGCTAAAAGTACACAATGGAAGAAGGAAAGCATCTTTAACACATGGTGCTGGCATAACTGAATGTCAACCTGTAGAAGAATGAAAGTAGATCCATATCTATTACCATGCACAAAACTCAAGTCCAAGTGGATTAAAGACCTCAATATTAATCTGACCACATTAAACCTGATAGAAGAGAAAGTGGGAAGTAGTATACAAGATATAGGCACAGGAGACCACTTCCTAGGTAGAACCCCAGTAGCACAGACAATTAGAGAAACAATGAATAAATGGGACCTCCTGAAACTGAGAAGCTTCTGTAAAGCAAAGGACACTGTCACTAAGACAAAAAGGCTACCTTCTGACTGGGAGAAAATCTTCACCAACCCCTCATCAGACAAAGGTCTGATCTCCAAAATATACAAAGAACTCAAGAAACTAGACACTAAAACTCTAATTAACCCAATTAAAAAATGGGGTACTGAACTGAACAGAGAATTCTCAACAGAAGAACTTCGAATGGCCAAAAGACACTTATGGTCATGCTCAACCTTCTTAGCAATCAGGGAAATGCAAATCAAAACCACTTTGAGATACCATCTTACACCTGTCAGAATAGCTAAAATCAAAAACACCAATGATAACCTTTGCTGGAGAGCATGTGGAGTAAGGGGAACACTCATCCATTGTTGGTGGGAATGCAAACTTGTGCAGCCACTTTGGAAATCAGTGTGGTGGTTTCTCAGGAAACTGGGAGTAAACCTACCTCAAGACCCAGCAATTTCACTCTTGGGAATATACCGAAGAGATGCCCTATCATACTACAGAAGCATTTGTTTAACTATGTTCATAGCAGCACTATTTGTAATAGCCAGAACCTGGAAACAACCTAGGTGCCCCTCAATAGAAGAATGGTTAAAGAAGATGTGGAACATATACACATTAGAGTTTTATTCAGTGGTAAAAAGCAATGACAGAAGACTTTTTTATTATCCAATGCCTCTCTGCTACTGTTGTCCCTTTCTCATTAGAATTAAGAAAATTCAAGATTAATAAAGCATTATGTAATCTATTTCTGAGGGCATTTCCATCCCTTTTTGTTTGTTTTACATAATTTATAGTTTGATTTGATCTTTCTATAACTGCCTAACCTGTAGAATTGTGTGGTGTACCTGTAATATGCTTAATATTATAATAAGAAAGAAAAATTGTTTTATTTTCTCAGAGACATATGCTGGACCATTATCTGTCTTTATCTATGCAGGAATGCCCATGATGGCCATAACTTCTAATAAATGCGTGATTACTGAATCAACCTTTTTTGAGCTTAAAGCAGTTGCCCACTGAAAACCTGAATGAGTGTCAATGGTGTGGTATACATATTTTAATTTTCCAAATTCTACAAAGTGAAACACATTCATCTGCCAGATTTTATTCCTGTGAGTACACTTTGGGTTAGTCCCTGCAGGTAGCGGTGTTTGGTTATAGTAGGAACAAGTAGGACATCTCTTGTTAATCTCCTTAGCTTGTTGCTATGCAATAGAAAACTCTTTTTTTTAACCTGTGCTCTTGACATGATGTTTTTTCATAAAATTCTGAGGCCTGCAACATGCTTCCAATCAATAATTGATCAATTTCTGCATTTCCTTGTGCTAGAGAATCTGGCAGACCTGCATGGGATCAGATATGTGTTATGTATATAGGACAAAGCCTATTCCTGATTGTGTCTTGCACCTGGATAAATAATGAACTCAATTCTGTAACATCTGGCATAAATTCAGTGGTTTCAATATGCAAGACAACTCTTTCTGCATATTGTGAATCACTAACTATATTAGGAGGTTATTTAAAGTCCCTTAGCAGCATGAGAATAGCATATAATTCTGCCCTTCCAGACAAAATTGTAAGGGCATTGTTCCATCTTACTTAATTCTTCTGGTTTGTAACCTGCCTTCCCTGATTTATTTGCATCAGTATAAAATGTATGGGCTCCAATTATTGGAGTATCATGTAGAATTTGGGAAAGAATCCGAGAAGTTCTCTTTATAAAGATAAGTCTATCACTTTTGGAATAATTGCTATTAATTTCTCCCAATAAATCAGCACAAGTTCTTTGCCATGGTTCATTGTCTTCCCATAATTTTTTTTTATTTCATCAATAGTGAAAGACACTATAGTCTCTGCTGAGTCTATAGCTGCTAATTGACAAAGTCTCAATTTACATTTTATAATTAATTCAGAGACTTTTTCAACATAAGTTTTTAGTTTTTTTAGTTGGTTTATGTGGTAGAAAGATTCATTGTAAGATAATATCATCCCTCAGCATTAAAAGTCCTATAGAAAAAATTCTAGGAGACAAGTTGACTAGAATACAATTAAGATTTGAATTCACCCTATCCACATGTGCCTCCTGTAACTTCTCCTCAACAACTGTCAATTCCTTTTCTGCTTCAGCTGTTAATTCTCTGGGACTATTCATGTCTTTATCACCATCTAAAGTTTTGCTTAAATGAATTATTACATCAGGTGTTAATCCAACAGCTGGTCATAAACTGGAAATGTCTCCTATCAATCTTTGAAAGTCATTAAAAATCTGCAACCAGTCTCTCCTAATTTGTGCCTTTTGTGTTTTAATTTTCTGCAAACCTATTTTATAGCCTAGGTAAATGACATAATCTCCTCTCTATATTTTTTCAGGAACAATTTCTAATCCCCATTTTGGCAAAATGTGCTGTACTTCATACATTCTTTCTAAAGTATCTATGTTTGAATCAGATAGCAAAATGTCATCCATGTATATAAATACATAAATAATAAATAAATATTATTTCAAATGGCTGGCTGACAAAGTATTGGAACAGAGTGGGGCTATTGAGCATTCTTTGTGGGAGGATAATCCATTGATATCTTCTAGTAGGCTGAGAATTATTATAAGTAGGAAATGTGAAGTCAAATTTGTCTCTATCCTTTTCTTGTAAAGGTATAGTGAAGAAACAATCTTTCAAATCAATAACTATAAGAGATCATTCTTTTGGAAATAGAGAACGCAGAGAGATTCCAGATTGTAGAGGGCCCATAGTCTGAATTACCTTATTGACAACTCTTAGATCTGTCACCATTCTCCATTTACCAGATTTCTTTTTTACAATACAGGCGAATTCCAAGGACTGGTTGATTCTTCAATATGGTGAACAGCTGTTCTAAAGCCTGCAACTTACCTTCCTCAGGAGGCCACTGTTTAACCGATGTTGCTTTCTCAGTTAACAATTTTAAAAGTAGGGCTGCTGGTACCTCTAATGGTTTTCTACTTTCTTTATGTTATTTTTTTAATGAGGTTAAATATTTATTCAGGGAGCTATGGAAGGGAAGGCAAAAAGGGGAGAAGGAAGTGAGAGGGGGTGAGAGAAAGAGAGAGAGAGAGAAAGAGAGAGAGAATGAGGAAGAGAGAGATAGAGAAGGGAGCGGGAGAGGGGGAGGGTGCACGGGCAAAGGGAAAAGAGACTTCTTTATGTTCTTGTACTGCCTGAATGGCTGGTGACCTTTGTGTATAAAACCTTATAATATCCTTTCCAGAATTATGAGTTCCTGGGACTGCAGGAATGTTAATCTTGGTATTCCATTGCTGCAGTAAGTCACAAACCCATAAATTTACAGCAATATTAGCCACATATGGCCTCAGCTTCCTTCTTTGACATTCTGGCCCAATGCAGTCAATTGTGCAATCAAATCATGCTTTGTTTGCCTTGAGATATGGTCCCAATTTGTTGTAAATGAACATCTTCCTCTTTAAAAGGCCAAATATGGATGCCAAGGTTCTGGAGTCAGGAGACTCACATCCACACCTGTGTCTATCAAACCAACAATTACAATACCATTTATATGCACTCTTAGCTTTGGTCTTTGATCGTTTATAGAAGTCTGCTAGAATATATGTTTCCTATTTCCTATTGGAATTTTTGACTTATCCTCCATGTTTATGTCATCATCTAGAACATTATGGTATTTTACAGAAGGCTTTGGATTTTTTTAATTTTCCTTGTGAGACATATCTTCCACAGTGACTGGGAATGACTGGGCCACTTTTGGCTTGGGGGCCTGTGAGAGACCCCTCAAAGAGTTTCCTGATGGTATTGAAATGCCTTGTCTATTTTTTGTTGACCTGCATTCATTGGTCCAATGCCAGCCTTTGCCATACCTTCTATATATACTTGAAGGCTGAGTCCTCCTATTCTTGCCATTTCCACAGGAGATATTATTCCTAGGAATTCCTTGTCTGCCATCCCTTCTCCGATGTCCTATTCTACCACAATTAAAACATTTGGCATTTTTATGTCTCCTCATTCCTTTGGAAATTGCTTCTCCTATCCAAGATTCAATAGTATACTCAAATGTCTCATTGTTTATTGTATGTTGAATTCATTCAGCCATTGGGTGCTGATCTAACCTTTAAAGACCCAAGTATCCTTTGGCATTTTAAGTTGGCTATTTCAAAAGTCAGGGATTCAATAAGTACTTATCTAGCATCTGGGTCTGTTACTCCTATTTGTACAACCTTAATTAATCTTTGTAAAAAGTTAGTAAAGGATTCTCTCTGGCCCTGTTTAATCCTGGTAATTGATTCCATCTGTTTTCCTAGTTCTTAAATCCTGTACGAAGCATTTAAGGCTGCTTTGTGGCATAGAGACAAGATTTGTTCATTGTAAAGAGCTTGAACCTCTGAGTTAGCATATGTGCTTTTACCAAAAATTTGATCTTGGGAAGTTTCAAGGCCTTTTGCTTTTCCCTATTGTCCCAAAACTTTTGCTTCTTTCCTGAAATAAATCCTAAACATTAATTGAGGCCCATCATCCAGGACTGCTGAAACTAACTAAATCCAACAATTTGGCATTGCTTTGGTGCTAGAAGATCATGTCTTTATTATCTCCCTAACAAGTGTGGAATGCAAACCATAAGTTACAACAACTTGCTTAATTTCTTTGAGATCATTCATTTCTATAGGTATCCATCTACCTTTTTTGGATTATTATGGATCATTAAAACTTGATGCTTTGTCAGAGTAGATTACAGGGTATGAAGCTAAAGCCCTGGGTAAGTCATCTCTGAAAGCTACTGGTGATGTTGAATCCTGTCCTTGGGTCTTCTTTCCCTGTTCATCAGCTCCATTAATTTCCTCAATTATTTCAAATCTTTTTACTGTTGTCTTATGTAAAGCCCGAATCTCCTGGCCTGTATATAATTCTAGTGATTTCATTGAGGCACCTAGCCTCTGGTTCTCATTGTGCACATGTGATTCCAAGGTCTGACATTTCTCCTTTAAAGAAAACACCTCATCCTTGGGCATTACTTGGATAGAGTTCAAATTGCCATTCCGGAGAGATACTCTATCTACTAACTTATCATAAATTTTAAACAAATTTTGATTGTCACATTCAACAGTATAAATTCTTTCAGACAATTTCTTAGTACCATTAGATATAAAGTTAATTTTACCTGTCAAATTAATGTTGTCCTTTTTAATATTATTATTTTTTTCAGGTAACTTTTGATTTTCTATGATACTAATCCTGTCTACTAGCAGTTTATTATTAATCTGTAAAGACTGCATCATTCCTAAAAGTGCCACATTCTTTCTTAATGAGAGAATACGAAGGAAAAAACTGAGTCCCAATACCCAATAAATTGAACTATCACCATAACCATCTATGTCTGGTATAATACAATCCATAGTATTAGCCAAAAAGTTACTAAAAGTTTCAATATTAATGTAATCAGCCATATTGATTTATTAATTACTTGTTATGAGATCCTGTAAATTGTTCTAGGTGTAATAATCTTTATTGTCCAGCAGATGTTGTAGTTGCAGAGCCAAAGTGGCAACAGGAATGGTACTGAACCACTTTTTTAGTTTCCAAGCTGCTTTAGTTTCCCACCTTGGTACTGGCTAAATACTGCAAAATATGCTTTGCTTGACAAATTAAAAACAATTAAATCAATTCCATACATGTAGAAAGGAAACCAGAACTCATGGGCAGGGAGAAGAAACCGAAAGTTGCACAACTTGCCACATGGCAAGGAACCACACCAAAGAACTGCGCCAGGAAATGCAGCAGTAATCCAAGCACTTTTGAAATTTCCAAGTTGCCACACACAATAAGCTCCATTGTGGCAGGGGTTCTACAAAAAAACCGCTTAGGTGAAAGCAAACCAAGTAGGCAGAGTTGGGAGACTGTCTGGACTGTGGACCATCCAGGCCTGTAGGCAGTGAATCAAGTAGACATGGAGTCTGAATCCACATAAGTGCCGGATGAAGAAGGACACTTAAAAGGAATCCCATACTAGCTCAGAATTGACAGATAGACAGTTATTTATTTAAAGGTAGACTCACAAATCAGAATCCTCTGCTGGAATGGAGATCAGAAACCAAATCTCACAGCCAGAAAAGAGGCCAGATGCATGCACATATGGGCATAAATAGCATAAGAGGCCATGACCCAGTGGGCGGGTAACTACTGACTATAGAACTTCCTACAGCTGGCTATGGTAGACTGTGACCTCTAACTAGTCAGCAATGTTTTCAAACATATTAACAATCCCTTAGTGCAACAGATCCGCATTTTACACATTGCCTTCCCAATAGTTCTCACTGCTATCTCAGTTATCAAACTGACTGTCAAAGTAGGGGTCCAAATTAACTTCCTAGGAGCCATAATTTTAGTGTGTACCTGAGAAAGATTGGGGCACAGGCCTAATCTAGGACACCTTTAGACACGAGGAATGTCATGCTAAGGAGATAGTTCTGGCACATCAGTTAGGAAAACTGCAGTCAAATTCACACTTCATATCTGATCTGAGTAGGGTATGTCAATTCTTGTTATAATTCACTTTATTGTCCAAATTTTAGTAAAAAGCCAAGAACAGGTCTCAATCAAAAATACCAATGCTCCTTGCCCAAGAAAGTGGATTGGATTTGGAAGTAAATGTTTTTTATTTTTCTGAAGACACAAGTAACTGGACATTCAGTCAGAAATTCTGCATGGAACCAAAGGCCCAGCTAGCTCGATTTGACAACTTGGACGAGCTGGTAAAAGATGATCAGGAATAGGTTTGTTTGTTTGTTCTGTTGAATATGTATTGCCTTGAGATAGACTGGTTAAAGATGAAGCATGAGGAAGGATCCTATCCCTTGCAGATGGAGACATGGGGAAACACATGAATATGTCCATTTGCTGATGATAACACTTCTGAGTGGAGCCCTGAGACATTCAAGAAGCCTTTTCTATGTATTGTTTATAGTCAATCTGGAAGGTCAGATATGCCATATTACTGAGATACCTGCTGGTAATGAGCATTCTACTCCAAGCTAGCAAATGCTGTATCCTGAAGTTGACAACTGTTAATAACTGTAAGGGGAGACTTAACCAGGAACTAACCCAGCAACAGAGAAATGTGTCATTAAACTCAGTAATTTAATTCAACTGAGGTCCTTAAGAATTATGACTGTCAACTGAATCCATTAAGAACTGAGGGCTATTATGGCTCCAAAGTCTTTGCCCCTCAGGTACACCCTCTTGTCATCTGATGAGGAAGCTGTGGGGTGTAGAAACTCAAGGGTCATTCAAAACAGAGAGACACATATATTCACTTTCCATGTTTTATGACAGAATTTCCTGAGGAGATACAAAGGGACCTTTGACTACTGGATCGGCCTGCACAGAGAGTCACCAGAGCACCCTTGGAGGTGGATGGACAACACTGAGTATAACAACTCGTATGTTTTCAAACCACTTTTCTTTCTACTATGATCATTTGTTGTTAAGTGTATGTGTTGTGTCTATTAGAAAGGAATGGCCGTGTCATGTGAAGCCAGCAGTACTGCCTCACAGGTATATTGGCCATCATTTTCAAAACCTTTACTGAGTGTGATTTTCCTCAAAATCTTTAGCATAATAATGGCATCTGGGGAAGCTATTGTCTGTTCCTTCACCAATTTAAAATTCTTGGTGTTGATAAATGCCCTATGTTGGAATGTAGACACAACCTCAGAAGACCAATGAGGGCTCTGAAACTTCAGGAAGCCACTGCAGAAAGGCAAGTCTGAGACCCATCAGTCCACAGTGTGCAGAGCTATACCTGCTCACAGAAGCAGAGACTCCAAAGACATTGGAACCTTCCTCTAAAGTCTTGCAATCAGAGAACACCCAGGACAGTTCTTGGATGTGAGCATAGCTGTTTTGAATGGAGTCATTCTACAGGAATTGTGGATCACAGATTCAATTTTGTCCCTCATTCAGCAGTTTTTCCCATATGTGAAATGTGTCAAAAACAGAATTGAAAATAACCTTCAGTGAGGCCACCCATGGCTGTATTTCATTTAAACAGGGCAGCAAGCACCAGTCAAATGCTTTGAACACACATAGAAGGGTTGGTTCAGTATGGATGAATGACAAAGGTTCTGTTATCAAATCAAACCCTGAGAATGTAATAATGACAGAAGGTACAATCCTAGTGCAGATGATTCTCTGGACTCTGCCTTTCTTTGATTCATATTACAAATAAGCAATAGAGACAGACAAAGTTTCACTGAGGAATGAATGCATTTCTGGAATCTGCAGATTTACTGTGCTTGGTTTATTTTCAGGGTTGCCATCCGAGGAGTGGAAAAATATGCCTACCTGAACAACAAGTGGATCAGCAGTGCCAGGGTCTATGCAGACATGAGATGGATCTGTAGCAAGCCCAACAGCTGTTTCCTGCGATGTCAAATTCCTTTTGCTTCTTTCTTGTCTTTGTCAAGTCATGCTTTGTAACCTGTATCAACAGTTGCTGCTCTATCTGCTAAAATCATCTTGGAGAATGGCACATACAGGGGTTTTGAACAACACTGATGCTTCTAAAATGGGTATTGACACACGTGTCTTAAACCTCAGTACAATTAATGCACTTTATGTATTTTTTTCTGTAATTTTTAAAATTTTGGGGGGTATTTTATGTAATTTTTATGTAATTGTGTAGGAAGGAAGGTCGCTTGTTTTTACTGGCTGCCCAGAACCAAAGTAATCACACAGAAACTGTATTAATTAAATTCACTGCTTTGCCCATTAGTTCTAACCTCTTATTAGCTAACTGTTACATATTAGTTTCGCTCTCCAGCAGTGGGTCCATGGCTTCTCTCTGACCCTGCCCTTCTTCCTCCTAGCATTCAGTTCTGTCTTCCCTGCCTACCTAAGTCCTGCCCTATCAACAGGCCAAGACAGCGTCTTTACTCATTAATGGTAATTATAGTACATAGAGGGGACTCCTGCATTCTAATGGTATGATTAGAAGTTTTGGTGCAGACCATCTTACTCATGAGAATATGAGACCACCAAAATGAGTTCTCCAAAGTGCACTTGCCCTTGCACTTTAATAATGAAAAGCAGCAGGTAGTGGTAACTGTGGTGGTGTGGACCTTTAATCCCTGGGGCTTTTATAATTTTTTTCACTTTTTGTTTCCAAGTAAAAGTCTCTCTGTGTAACTTTGGCTGTCCTGAAACTCACTCTGTAGATTAGGCTGTTGCAAGGAGAGGGTTCACTTGTTCATCCTGGCCACCCAGCTAGTTTAGCCCCCCAAAATAACCACACAAAAATTGTATCAAATAAATCACTGCTTGGCCCATTATCTCTAGCCTCTTATTTTCTAATTATTATATCTTAATTTAATCCATTTCTATTAATCTCTGTATCACCACATGGCAGTGGCTTAACAGGTAAAATTCTATCTGGTGTCTATCTCAGGCAGAGGATCCATGACTTCTCTCTCTGACTCTGCTTTCTTCCTCCCAGAATTCAGTTCTGCCTTCTCCTCCTACTTAAATCCTGCCCTATCAATGGCCCAAAGCAGTTTCTTTATTCATTAACCAATAAAACCAACACACAAACAGAGGTACCTCCTACACCACTAAGCTATCTCAAACTCACAGATATTTGCTTGCCTCTGCCTCCCATATACTGGAATCAAAGGAGTGTGCCACCACTGCCGGGCATAAATTTTATTTTTAATAAGGTTTTTTCCACCTGACCTGAACCTGTGACCCTCTGCAAGAAACTGGGGTCACAGGTGTGTGTTGGCACACAATACATTCTGCTCTTCAGTGTTAAACTACAAAATATCTATTAAATAATGTAAATTAAATAAGTAAATAATTGTGTTTTTGTTATATCTATATTCTACTATTTATCAGATGAATACAGAATACTTTATTTTGGAAAATCACTTTCTATGTCACTTCTTCATTTAACCTTAATAAAATTTTTTTCTTTCAATCCTTTTTATTTCCTGCATTGTCATACAAAAGGAGAAAACATCCTCAGGTGTAGTAGAATTTCAAATGTATTTTGACAAATAAAGACTACCTGAAGATCTAAGATTAAACCAGTCCCACTGGTCAGTCTTACTGACCAGGTTGTGGTAATGCATACCTTTAATCACAGTAGCCATAATGGCAGGCACCTTTAATCCCAGGAGCCATATTAGTTTGCCATAGAAACTGGGCAGTGAATGCCTTTAATCCCAGTGGTGCATGCCTTTAATCCCAGCCCTAGAGGGGAATATAAGAAGGGGGGTAACGGGAGACAGCTCTCAGAGACAGTCTCATTCTGAGATTCAAGGAGGCAGGATTGCCATTTCAGACTGAGGTGGAGTTAAGAGCTAGTGGCTGGCTGTTTTGATTTTCAGATCTTCAGGTTGAACCCCAATTTCTGACCCTGAGTTTTTATTAAGCATGTCTCACTCAGGGACTAGCAGTGTATCCAACACAGGAGTCTTCAAAGCAGACCCATGGAATGAACTATGTTGTCACAATTATGTTCTGACAAAGAAAGTTATGTTTCTACAAAAAGTTTATTTTTATATCATTAAACTATGTAAACTTTATCCAGAAAAGAAACTTGATAGGTTCATGACCTTATCTGACCCTATAATCTTGTTCACAACAGATTTGAAAATTAGGTCTACTTATACCAATTTCTCAGATTCAGATGAGATAACCTACTGCACCTGCACGGTCTGGAACCACGAGTCTTGGCAGAGGGTGTCCAGGTTGAATGAATTCACAGAGCACGAGGTTGAGATGGAACAGCTTCTTCTTTATTGTTCTGCTGGGGCTAGCTTTTATACCATTGCACCAAATGAGGAGGGGGCTACGAAGGGACTGTAATCTGACCTCAGCAGGGATCAAGAAAAGGTCCTTCCTTGATCAAGGATCAAGGAATGCACTCAAAATTCCTTTCCCAGCTCCAGGAGCAGAGGGGCTTTATTATGTTTTCTTAGCAGATAAGCACCTCAAATGGGGGCAGGGATAAGTAACTCGGGCTGCAGTTCCCACAATAACCCAAATAAATGTCAGTGTCTCCATCTGACAGGGTAAGTTTTCTTTCATTACTCTGTGGAAATGGTTCTCAAAGGAACAGTAGATTTTCCTGAAAATTGACCTTTCTAAGGAATCTCTCCAGAAGCAACCAGTGAGCTTTTTAAACCAGTTTCTTACAGACAATGGAACTTATCAATAGTTAAATAAATCATTTAAAACAACATATTGGAAATAAATTTTTTTCCTTTTTTTTTTCTTTTTTGAGACAGAGTCTCACTGTGTAGAGCAGGCCGGCCCTGAACTCAGAGATCTCCCTGCCTCTTCCTCCTGAGTTCTGTGTTTAAAGGAGTATGCCACCATGCCTGGATTAGGTTTATATGGGCAGGAGAGAAAAGTGAGTGGGTAAGAAGTTTATTATAGAAGCAAAGGAAACTGAATTAAAATTCCCATCACTCACATAACAGGCCAAGCATGGCTCTCCTTATGCTTCTGTCCTTTCAGGTCTATAAAGGACAGAGACAAGAGGATCCCTAGGGTTTGTTGGGCACCAATCTGGTTCAGGGAGAGACAATGTTTCACACAACAAATGAATAAAAAATAATGACTATAAATGCAAATGGTTTAAACACATTATAGCAAGCATCCAAGTAATTTGGAATTTACACCTTCTCTTAATTCAGATTCCTCCAATTTATTTTTGATATTTTTTATTCTTTGAGAATTTTCTTCAAATTATTTTGATCCTATTTACAGTCTTTCCAATTCCCAGATTCACCTGATCCATCCTTACTCACCCAATTTTTTGTCTTTAGAACAAATAACAAGGAAACAAAACCCTGTGCTGAGAGAAGTCCAGGAGAGCACAGCAGAATCCCCTACAGTGTGAGCTGGAGGGCTGGGCCAGGGCTGCAGCTAGAGGATGCTGCTGCTCAAGAGGATGACAGAGCAAGCTGCAACCCTTTCAGTGATTATGGATCTAGTGGAGTAAATATACATTAATGGCAGAATAGGAAGCTAAGGAATTTTAAAGAGAAAACTTTTTCTCTCAGGTGCATGTTTGGAATTTTATGTGTATGATTTTAGCAGATGAAAGAGAGCATTCCAGGCCAGAAAGAGTAGAAAAGCCACACACACACACATACACACACACACACACACACACACACACACAGAGAGAGAGAGAGAGAGAGAGAGAGAGAGAGAGAGAATTCAAATAAACAGGTTAGAAAATAAACTGTTGACAAATAATAATTTTCAGAATTCATGCTGACCTGTGATGATGCTGAATATAATGGTCTGTCCTGTCCCTTTAAGAGACAAGCCCTGCCCACTCCCTCCCCCATCTGCCAGGCAAGCAGATCTTCCTTCTGCTTCCAGCCTGAGGTCTTTCCCATCCATCTCTCCCATGATGAGGTAGTTGCTGCCATAGTTCCTCTCCTCTTCTCTCTCTCTCTCTCTCTTACTGTTTTTCTTCCTTTCTTTCTCTCTCTCTCTCTCTCTCTCTCTCTCTCTCTCTCTCTGCCTCTCTCTGGTCTTTTCCCTTCTTCCCTTCCTCCCTTTCCCTTTCCCCTCCATAACCCACTAAATAAATATCGAACCTCACTCTGCATGGCTTGCCTATCACTCTGTCTCTCACCAGCCAGGATTGTGGGACCAGCTGCCCTGCTGAGGTATTTCTCATGCTGAGTGGCAACACTGGAATCCTCAGTGCAGCATTTTACCTAAACCATAACACCTGTTGATCCAAGTTGACCTCTTGAAGCTTAAAAAAATTTTCTTTAAGAGGCAAAAGTGTCAGATATGTCATTATTATTATAATTATTATTATATGTAGTCTATATTGAAATCCATGATATAGAAGAGGCAAGGAATCTCATTTTTTGAGTCATAATAGTAGTTTGGAAACATAAAAATAATTTTGGTTAAAAGCAGTAATATTTTTATTTGTTTAGGAGAGTGAATGTATGTAAATCAATAAAATGTCTCCATTAAAATCAGTAGCATTTTTGTTTATATTTAAGCAGTGACAAGAGAATACAGAATTCTGAGTTTATGGCTGAATAGGAAGCATCAATGTTGTATTAGTTTATTAAGAATTTTGTTAATGTTAAACTTTGAGTTCTTAAAATCTTATATGATAATATCACAGAAAGGGAAGGAAATCTGGGACATGTTTCATTGTTTTTTATACCTAAACCCTAATTTTTAAGTCCCCCGAAATCATTTAATTAAATCTTTAGATTCTTAAACAATTTTACATCCTAATTTTTTATTAATTTATCAAGAGACATAAATCACAGATTATTTGAGCAGTCAATGTAGAGTGAGTTTCTTTAACCAAAGAAATACTAAAAAGTTACTTTGAAGTCTGTTTGGTAAGCTCTCCTTTGTTTGGAATTTGGTAACAAGGTCAATGATTTTTAGACCTGTGTAACAAGAAATAAAATCTAGATGATCCAAAAGTGTATTTTAACAAAGCCCTGGCTTTGTACGAGGCATAACACAGTTTTGTCTAACATGGAAAACTTAAACATTTTAAATGCTGGGACACTAAGGAATTATCTATATTAGTTAGTATACTACAACCTGCATTCCTAATTATCCTCAATTGTTTCAATTTAAGTAAATTTATTATTAACAGTTTATCAATGAGTTGCCCTTATAGATCTAGAATTTTATGTTTTATCCCTGTTATATTTAGCCTAAAAATAACCATTTTAAATCAAAGTTCTTTTAGCATTGACACGAAACCTTTTAATCACAAAAACAAGATATAGGGAGACTGACAAATTTATACATCTTTATAGGGCATCATGGAATATAATAGGTACATTACAGAAACCACAATATCTGTTGTATGAGTGAAAAGGGGGAAAGGTTTATTTCAAACTATGGTCAGATGAAAATTAGGAAACATAGATAAAGGAAACAGTCACGGAGCTGTGAGCACATCTTAGATGCTGCCAGCAAAACATACAGAACACACAAATTCAGACATTCAAAAACCAGTCAAAAATCAGGCACACTGGGGTCACCTTCTCATTCATACGGACATTTTAACAGGAAGACAGACAAGATGAAACAGCCCATGGCAGGCAGGTAGATTTTTAAAAGCAAGCTGTGAAAAGGAAAAGAAATACCACCCTGGACAACCCCCACCTTGGTATCCAGGTGGGTCTCCAGCTAGGAAGGCAGGAAGAGATAAGGAAAACAGGAAGCACAACCCCCTCCTTGGTATCCAGGTGGGTCTCCAGCTAGGACAAGAAGCCCCTGGACAACCCCCTCCTTGGTATTGAGGTGAAAGGTCAAGAATGTGCCACTCAGCTTAGCCTTATTTGAATTGACCAATGGAATGAATCCCCGTAACCATGCTTTTTTGCTTCTGTACCCGCGCTTTTGCTCTCCTATAAGAACCCCTCACCCCCAACCTGGGGGCGTGCAAGTCTTCCGAGATACCTTGTCTCCCCAGGTACCTGTGTATTCGAATAAACCTCTTTCTGTTTGCATCCGTAAGTGTGGCTTCGTTGGATTCGTGGGTTCGGGGCCTCTCTCGCTAGGAAGACATCCCTCGGGGGTCTTTCAGCTGATGGGGTGGAGAAGAACAGAGCAGCAGCTTCAGGCAGTTAAAGGGTTACCAACAGAAAGCCTGGGAGGAATGGCGGAGACACAGGCCGAAGAGAATACAGAAAGCAAAGATGCAAAAAGTTAATACGCATTTATACAGCAAGATTTATCCAGTTTTTGTGGACATCTCCAACCGAACCGAATTGAAAAATCGTGTAGAATGTTTACAACATAAATAAGGTTTATTCCTACACTTCCTTTGAATGCGCTAACCGGAAGTTCCTGGGGCAGCCTCGAGTTTTTGTAAACAAACCAGGAGCTCAGCTGAAGCCTCATCCATAGAGAGATAAAGGAAGAAGAAACAGAGTTTTAGTGCAGTGATAAGAGAAACAGTTTGTGAATGTTGGGGAATCACCACTTGAGTTTATAAAGCAGCTCAAGAAGTTTGACTGCCTGATGAAGCAGGTGCAGACCCTCTCCCAGTCAGTGAAGCCAGTTTTGATATTTAAATGAGGAGCTGATAGAGGTCCAAATTCTAAGCTGAAGGACAAGTTAACTCTTTAATTCCCAGTGAGACAAAGCAATGAAAACTCTTTGGAGCAAGCAGGGATCCTAGCTGCCAACCCCTGGAAAGCTGGGGGTAGAGCTTGGGAACCTTTACCAACCCTTGTGGGCTTTCTCAGAAGGCCAAGCAAAGTGATTTAAAAAAAAATTAAGCTTAGTGGAGGAAGCCAAATAAGATTATAATATTTTTATGTTTGTTTGTCTTTAAAAATCTGAGTAAGATAGTAGGAGAGTCCTCTCCTGAAGAAAATGTCTCCAGTGTCTGTCATTATCTGTTTTTGAGTATCGCTTATTTTTATTAGCATTTTCTTTTGAGCTATTAATCTAAACAATTAGCTGTTGTATATTGGAGATTCTGTTTGACCCATAGCAAGAGAAAAGATATAATATAAAGCGAGCACTTAGAAAATGTTGGGGGTCAAAACTACTCACCCTTAACAAGGTATTAGTGTCCTTGGGACTTTTAGCATTCTACCAGTGAGGACTCTCTGAGAAACTGTCTCTTCCAGAAGGAACCTCCTGGGGTTGCCCTCCAAGGGAGTAGGGGAATGTCTCTTGTCATCATTCTAGGGTGCTCAAGACCCCAAATCTGCAGAATCCAGCCAATGATGGCTTGTCTGTGGCTGCCAGATTAGAGCGATCTCTCTCTCAAACATTTCTGGGGGGACTTCTTTTCAGGGAACACCCCTGCCAAGAGCTATCTCCATCACTGCATAGTCTTGGAAATTCCTTTCTAATCCCCTGTTCTGGTGCCAGATATCGACTGTGTCTTATGGTTTTTAAAAGCAGTGGTGTGGTTCCCTGTCCCTGCCGAAGCAAAAATTAACAATCAAGCCAAATCAAAACAAACCGAATTAAGAAATATCTAGGTTTAATGGGAGATCTGTGCTCTTGGGTGGTCCCGAGGGGGAACTGGGAAGCATCAGGAACATGACCCCTGGGAGGAAGAAAGGGAGACCACGTGTTCCTCTTTTGGGGGATCACTTAAATACCCTGGGAACCCCTCCTGTCCAACTGGGATTTGGAGTCCAGATCAGGCCTGGGGGCTGGGATAAATAGACTGGGGCCTACCTCCCAACTAGACAGTTCCCTGAGGGGCTGGTCACAAGGAGCAGCTGGTCCCACCACTGGATGCCCAGGTAGGTCCCAGGCTGGTGTGAGTCCTTGGCAGGTAACAGACAGATATGTCATGCAGAGAGAGTTTGAGTATAGACTTTATTTAGTTAGTTATGAAAGGAAAAGGTAAGGAGAGAGAGAGAGAGAGAGAGAGAGAGAGAGAGAGAGAGAGAGAAACAGATGGGGGGAAGAGAGAAAGAGAGTCAGCAGTCATTTAGCAGTAAAAAAACAATAACATCTTGAAATTTGCATGCAAATGGATGGAACTAGAAAAAAAAAAAAAAACATCCTGAGTGAGGTAACCCAGACCCAGAAAGATGAGCATGGTATGTACTCACTCATAAGTGGATACTAGCAGGAAAATAAGTAACAAGGAGAACCCTAAGACAAACATGTATGGATTCCCCCTGGGATAGGGAAATAGACAAGATCTCCTGAGAAAACTGGGAGCATGGGGGAGGGAGAAGAAGGGACAGCAGAAAGGGAGGAGCGGGGAGAATGGAAGGGAGGAAAAGAAATGAGGGAATGGGATAGTCAAGATGGGAGAAGGACAGAGATTGAGCAAGGAAAGAAATCCTGGATGATTTTCTAGCCGCACAGAGAGGAGTTTCCCTTAGTGTTGGTGAAATTGTCTGCTTGGTGCAATAGACAGTGAACTATGACTGAATATATGTGAATATAGTGGACATAGTTCTATGGGAAGATGAGAGGCTGTTAGCAGGCTCATAACTTAATCTGAG